AAAAAAAAAAATGCAAATATTTATAGTAAATAAGAAAAAATATAAATCAAAAACGCCACGAGAGATAAATATCAGTTAGGGCTAGGAAAATTAGTTCAACGTTATAAATAAAAAAGTAAATTATTTAATGTTATGCCAAAAGAAGAAAGATAACAGAAAGATAATATAGATATACATACATACATATATATGTACGTGTAAAGAATTATACACAGTTTTTCCAAACACTTTTTGCAGAGATATTGCATGTATTATCAAGGAGTTTTTTAAATACATTCGCATATGCATACATACATACATACTTACCTGTATATGCGTGTATAATATATGTAGTTATAATATTACCTTTTTTGTAATAACGAAGCAAAGCAACTTATTAAGACTGTAAATAACTACCACGCGATAATTTTTTTGAACAATGCTAGCATAATAACATAATAGTAAAATTAACAAATCAAAAAAATTGCTCATTTATTACTAGTAATTTACTATCGACTACAATACGATAATAATAAAATAATTTTAAAATTAATTGATGTAGTGTATGTATTTTATGTTATTCTGATTGGTAGGTAATTGCGTGTTGTTATGGACATTTTCTCACACGAGACTATCGCATTTCAATGATCGGTTGCAGGGTGAACCGCGAAAACCATCGTAGGATGCCTTCTCGAGCAGCATTATCAGATCGTTGTAACGAGGATTATTAAAAGCATTGCTGAACATAAAACAAGAAAACAATGTAAAAATATCGGTGCTAGATTCTACAAGTTTTAAAAAAAATATATATATACATATATGTCTATTTTACAAGCCATCCACCCCACCAACCATTTTTCTTGTGGGGGGGAAATGTTTTGAGCACATGAAAAAATTTGTGTCATGAAGTGTAATTTTTGATGCCATCTGATATTTTGTGAAAAATTGTCTAACCTCAAAATAACTATCTATTGGGAACGTGTCGCCAAAGAAAGAAAATATTTAAAGAAAGAAAAATATTAAAATAAATTCGACCAAACCAATATTTGTCCGCCATCTTGAATTTAAAATCAGACATCGGATTCTAATCTTTTTTCACAAAAGACCAGACGGCATCAACAACTACTCTTCATGACAAATTTTTTCATCTTCTCAATACATTTTTTCTTCCACAAGAATTCCCAATATGTATGGACACTGCCGGCAAAAGGTATTGGCACAACTGATTTTTTACAAAATATGCAACAATTTTTATTCTAATATTTACGCGCCAATTTTTTATAAAAATTAGGTAAATTCTACAACAAAAAACATAAAAAAATAATTTCGGAACTTTATGGAAAACTCCCGAAAACTCAACAAATTTTCATGCAAAATTTCAACACATTAATGAGAATTTTTAGAATTTTCTTCAGTGTGCAGTTTTGTAGCCCATTAAATTGTAGATTAAAAATGCACGTTCGGAGTTAGCCACAAATCTTATTAATGTTTTAGAATTTTATTTTGTTGAAGGTGTTTTGCAATTTTTCCATACAAAGTATTTTCGAACAACTTTTTTTTTGGATAGAAGAGAATGCGTGAAAAAGTTTCCAAAAATCAACGGTAATTCGTAGCTACTTAGAGCTTCTCCCCTTATACAAAAAATTGATTGGGCTATAAATCTTCATACACAAAAAAATTCTAAAAAATCGTATTAAAAAGTTTAAAATTTGCAAGAAAACTTGCTGAATTTTCGCGAGTCTTGCACAAAGTTTAGAAATTATATATTTATGTTTTTTGTTGTGGAATGAACCACATTTTTATAAAAAATTCTCCGAAAAATATTCCAATAAAAACTGTTACATATATTGTAAGAAAGCAGCTAAGCCAATAATTTTTGCCGGCAGTGTATATAAATATAGTATTTGAGCAGTATTTGTTACAAATCTGAGTATGTATGTTAAATATTCATGAACCTACTTACCCCTCATACTTTTCGATGCCGTCAATTAGTGCCTTCGCCGCTTTTGCATATTCATAAGCTACATTGGGGCTGGCGCACGCCGCTGCATATAGACAATCGTCCAGTCCTATTCCTTGAGCAGCTAAAAATCCAGTAATGAGATAATCCTCACCGTCACTTAAGCCAAAATTGATGTTTTCTAAAAAATGCAAAATTTAATAAAGTACAGATAACATGCTTAAGACGTCTGTTGACTGACGGTCTAAAAGCAAGTCTGCAAAGGCAGACATGGTTTGTTCACGAATAAGAGAAAAATTAGGAGGATTCCAGGTTACAATCACACTATCGGCCGAAGTTCGTATGTGGGTATCATTCAGATCTAGGAAACTACAAAATATAATTTTATCGGAAAATTAAGCCGCTATTCGGCTTTCATGTATACCACAAGGGAGATTTGGGTTTCACGAGACACTGTTATACCATCTAATCATCAGACAGATGAGTTCAACAGGACTGGAACATGGCTTATAGCCTCAAAAATCTATGCTGCTTTCATACTGAAAACAGTGGCTAAAAACCTACTTTATCGAACTGGTAAACAGAAGGTGGACCGAGAACCAATATGTGGGCTAGCACGTCAAATCTGATCCAGACTCGATACGGACATGCCCAGCGCCCTTATTCTCGTCGAACACTCTCAACTCAGTTGGGTTGGTCGAATTTTTACTAGTGGCCGGTAATACACGCAAGAAGAATCGGAATTCCAGCTGACGACTTTTGTCGAAACTGCCCAGACTAAGAGAAAATCGAATGCGACGAACACTTGCTCTGCCAGTGATGAGGACGATATTATGTATTCCTTACAATATATACACCTCAATATTTTTTGGGGGTGAAATATTTTTAAATTCTTTATCAAAAAAAAGAAGAAAATCTCGAAAAAAAAATTCCCACAATTTTGAACTTACGGAGAAGTGTATACATATAAATAAAGCGAATACACTAAAATATTCATTTTTATGTCTTACCTTCTGAACTTCTCGAACGTCCATAACCATATCCATGAGCACCCCAATGGCCAGCGCCTAACATGCCAGCGGCAAATATTAGTATTTTTAGCAAAATGATTATAAGTAAATTAGTAAGGTTGAGACTGAGCACCTGCAATGAAGAAAATTATTTCCTATAAACTTTAGGGCGCTATTAAAGTAAAATTGGATATTTATTCACAGATTAGAGTATTTGAAAACGATTTTGAATTAATGAAATATATTAAAAAAAAAACTCACACAAACACCTTAAGCAAAGGTCGATCAGCTGGTTTCTTCGCCTTACATTTGACAGCACACCCATCAAAAGCAAAAACAAAATACACATATACACTTTGGGGTGAATTGAGATTTGACATAACACCCGCAACACAAAGTATATGGGACTGTTGTATTTGCTTTAGCGCTACCACTTTGTCTAAATTCGCCTGGGATCACGAGCTTCATTTTCGCACGAAGTCGCTCGCTTAGTTTTCTGGCAAAACTGAGGATAAGGTTAAATAAAAGAATCCGTTTAACAAAACTAAAGTACATTTCTCGAGTTTATTTATTTTGGCATTTCCGAAATTTGTAGTGGCTGGCAATGCGCGCTACCATTCCGCAGGGCCTGGGTTAAGCCCAAAATCAAGAAAAAATGGTTTTCTCTAATAGCGGTCGCCAGTCAGTAGGCAAAGGCAAACTTCTGAGGGTATTTCTGTCATGAAAAATAGCTCCTCATAAAAAAACAAACGTCGTTAGGAGCAAGAATGATAGAATACAAGATTGCGCCGATCAGAGAGGATTTTTGAGAATAACTTTTGTGTGACGTCACACTGGTGCAATTGCGAGAGAGAAATGCCAAAACGTGAGCAAGAATGGAAGAAGAAGAAAAAATGTTGCAAGGAAAACGTAAACAAGTTGCACAAGTGTGACGTCATGCAAACCACGATTCTGTCAAATTCGTTAAGAGAGGAATAGCGGTCCGAGATCGGCGCAACCTTTGTATTCTCTCAATCGTGCGTTAGGAGTAGGTGTACGTCCTTCCCCTTTGCGTGTCAACATCAAGCCGCACGCCACAAATCGGAAGAGAAAGCTCGGCCAAACACTAACATATGTTTAAGTGTACGATGACCATATTACCCTCCAGTACTGCTGGAGTCAATCGGTACTTTTGAACCGCAACTGCACCGACTCCTAGGTAAGTATCTACTCTATTAACCCGTGGTAGTGCACATGGTAGTGCAGAGTCGAAGCAGAATAGCGAAAAACTACTACAGAGGGCGCCCATAAATCACGCAAGTGACTACTTTAGTAACTCCCGATAGTGCAGAGAGAGCCGATGGTGACTACCGCCTAGGACATTGCCTTGTAAAAGTAATCGATGGAATACACTGCAAGTAGTCGGTCGGTAATTGACGGTGTTTATTAGGTAGCTACCGATTCAGCAGTCCTGTAGTCACTCCCCGTACTGCAGGGTAATCATCGTAAAATAAAGGACATTTTTTCAAAATGATTTGGGAATACTTACATACAACTTGTATGATAAAAGTACCTTGTCATATCGTAATTTAAATCAAATATTTATCAGTTAATTATAATTAAGTGGGGTACGAAACAAACTGGCGAAAGTTTTCATTATATTTTATAATGGGCATTTTTATTTTTCATATTCTGCGTTTAAAAATTTACCTCTGAAAAATGCAGAGCCGAGTTAAAGGACAGTTTAAGAAATAAAGGACAAACACGTCCTTTATTTTGAAAAAAATTATAAAGGACAGGGGGTTAAAAAAGGAATGTCCTTTAAAATAAAGGACCGATGATCACCGTATATACATAAGAGCCGATATATTATTATTGTTCTCGAAAAATTACGTGCATAGAATTTCGGAATGTCCCAACTTGATATCTTTCTAGAAACGCATTCAATCCGATTGCATTGCTGCAGGCTTACAGTTTACCAAGGAGTTCAATTTATCTAATTGATCTAATGAAATAGACCTTGAAATAAATTTGAAATTCTGACTAAATCGTACTTTTTGTTGGGCTAGAGCTACATATGTACTTATATTTAAAATGGTTCTTTTGTTTCAGAAATTTATTCCATTCAATTTTCTTCGTTGCACTACAGAATAATATCAATTTGTTTATTTAAGTTTAAAGGCTCGTATACAGTTCTCAAGAAAAATCAAAAGAAATATTTCATTAATTTTTTTCTATTGCTAGGAAAAGTACTTTGCAATTGCTGTAAGTTTTCTTGAGAAATAAATATACTGATGTAAGAAATTTTGTTAGAGGAAAAACTTTTTCGATTTTCTGTGCGTCATTTTACATAAATTTTTCGTTTTTCTTGAGAGCTGCAGACCGGCCTTTACCAGAGGCCAAGAGCCTCAGCACTTTCATTTCTTGTTATGTAATAATCCGGCACATAATAACAGATCAAAAATGCACACCAAGTAAATAACTGTTTGTTTATAAATCCGAGATTAAATGAGAGGCCCTTACACCTTCGAAAGATTTAAGCCAAAAATTATGATTCTTTGAACATTTTTTAACACATACTTGACTATTGCCCGTCGATCGATTGATAAGCTCTTTGGCAACTTGCGTCATTACATGCCCCGTCGGACTGGCGATCATATCCTGAGCTGCCTGCAGCCATCCTGTTGGTCGTTCTACTAATTCACTCAAACTATTATTATTACGATCAACTTCGTAGGCGAGAACCGCACCATGAATCTGCGGTAGCTCGATGAATGCAAAAATCAGAAGGAAACGAGAATTCCGTAACAACATTGCGCGAAGCAATGAATTCGAAAAATCAACTTAAAGAAATTTTAACTAAAAACTGCGACTTGCATACGCGTCATGCAACAACGAAACGTGACTAAATTTTGACGACATTGCATGTCTGGTTTTATGTCTTTTCAAGAGCAGAATCAAAGAAGCGCGAAATGCATTTGAAGTTTCCGCATTTAGCTGCGCTAGGCGCGTCGAAGTGTTTGCGTTTGCACAGGTGCCAAATGCAACGTTTGGGATACCTGCGCGCGTGCAGCGATAAATTGTGCTGATTTTGCAGGCATCACTGCGCACGAAAGTGAGTTTTCTAACAAGTTATGAGCAACAAATAAAATACTCGTAGAAAAACTATTTGTATGAATGAAGAAATACAGGCATTAAAGGCCTAATGTTTCAATGCATCAGGTAGTTATGTTATTTGGAGTAAACACATACATATATACAAATATAAGTGCCGGAGAATGCTATAGGCTAATGACATTAGCCTAGTCGATGGCGTTTGTTTAAAGGTAAAAATATGTATTTACTTACATACTTATTTTATTATTCACATATGTATGTGTGAAGTGCACCAGACAAACATAAGAAATTATGCTTATCAGCACCACGGGCATGCGATGCTTTTCTGTATTTTGAGTGATATTAAAAATCATTCATAAAATTCCAAATTGAGATATTTTTGTATGTCTCAGTAATTTGCTACAGAAATGTTCATGCCCTCAATTACCAAATTATATCAATCAGATCTAGCATTTTATATAATGCGTAATTACCAATTATTTTGTATCTTTCTTGAATGTCATTGATCTGTATGAACTCATATTTTTACAGGCATATAACCAGTTCGAATTACCTTTGATTCTGTTTTACCAATCCAAAGCTTTCCAATATTTCTTTTAACACCATTATGCTGAAGTTCGGTTTTATTTAAGTTTAAGTAGCTTCGAAGAACTAAGTGCGGTTTTTCAATATGGAAAATACAAAGGCATTTATCAACATGTCTGTTTATGGCTTTAAAGTGAACGGCCTCGGCAAGAAGTAACACGAGACAAATTTAGAGAAAGTATGTATGTCGACAAAATTTTTTTTTCATAAACTTTTTAAAACATCCCTCCCTTTTGTCAGGTTTAGTGTTCTTTAAACAAAACGCGTTTTCTATAGATGAAAGTAATATATTTTTATCTCCATATTTTTGCACGTTTATTTTATACACGCCCGCTACGAGTCGAACCTTTAACTAAAAATATATATTTTTTTTATTAACAGATAGTTAGCCCATACATCTGTCCCTTTTAAAGGAATGAAGTGTTTGAGATCGTGTGTCCCCTGAGTGATATAGAAGTGGAAGAAAGGAAAAAGCTTTAAGACATCTGTTCTAGACAACAAAAAGAATAAAACATTGGAAATATGCTTTATGTTTAACCAGCTGAATTATACGACGTCACTTTACCTGTCGTTAAATTACTAAAATTTCCTTTGAAATAGGTTTGTTAATATTTTTCTTGAAAGAATTTTTAACGGGAGGAAAACATGCATTTTATTAAATTTAAATAAACTGCATTTTTATAAACAAATAATTAAAATTAAAAAATAATAAAATGCATGGTCAAATCTAGATAATATGTGAGTTACGTAAAGTTATGATAATCACTATATCGACTGCTGAGTAGAAGATCGACCTATCTCGGCAGCCAGTTCGAAAACGCCCTATATCAAAAAACTTCTCAAAAACGTCCTATTTCAGAATTTGGTTGAAGTACGCCCTATTTCAGAATTCCTTTCAAAAATGCTCTATCTCAGCTGCTGATTCAAAAACGCCTTATATCAGCACCTTTTAAATATATTTTGAAGTGAGATAGGGCATTTTTGAATCATATTCTGAAATGTGGCGTTCTTCAACCAAATTTTGAGATAGTCTTTTTCAATCAAATTCTGAAATAGGGCGTTCTTGAAAACTTTTTTGAGATAGGGCATTTTAGAGATAGGTCGATCTTCCACTCAGCAGTCGATATGGTCTCAAAATAAAATATTTTGAGTGTGCCCATTCAATTTTAGTATAATGAAGTCCAAGTTTAAAGTAGCTGGGACTACCGTTGCTTTTTTGCATTTTTTTTCTTGTTGACGATGTCAGTCATTTTCCCTCATAAGTATATTGGACGTTTTTTTTTATGGAGCAAATGAGTAACACTTTTATCAAAAAAAAATAATAATTAAAAAGCCACGGTAAGTCGCAGTTACTTTAAACTTGCATTTTTTAAAATCGAATGGGCCACAAAACCGCATTAAAATACTTCAATGAAATTTTATTAAAAAGCTCGAAAGTTTTGCGAGAGCTAGCTGGTTTTTTAATGATGAAGAAGATCATGCATGAACCTGTTTTTTTTTATTGATAACTGAAAAACACATAAAGTGAACTACTAATTCAACGTTCACTACCGCTCTGATCTTTAAATAATTTTGTGCGATTTGAAGTTTAGTTTCGCGCACGAAATAGGATTTTTGGCGTTCCCGTGGTTTTGGACAGTTTATCCACTTTTGTGAGAGCATTGCGTACTTAGACCCATTTGCCCGAAACCAACCGGAAAATGTAAAAAACAACGAGGAATCGAAAAACATCGGCGTACATATCGATGCAACGAATCAAAGATAATACTAATGAGACAAACTGAGCAAACGAGTGGCTGACTGAGGGACTTCTGGGACCCCACATAGAAAACATTTTTTTGTTGAAATTGTAACTTTGATATTTATACTCAATGTTCGATTTTAGCAGAGCCCCGGCAAGCTACTCAATTCAACTTTATACCACTAACGTTTTTGAAAACAAAACAATTTTTGGCCGACATCAAAAGAAAATAACCCTGTAAGAAAGCGTTTGCAATGTTTCAAAAAATTACAAAAAAAAACCGAAAATTCAAAAACAGGCTTGAAAAAATTTAAAAAAAAAAACCTGAAAAGTCTACATAAGAATAGAAATGAAGAAACGAAATAATACAGAAAAGTGCCAAAAAATACAAAACTAGCTTTCGAAAAAATCAAGAGAATGTCGAAAAGCTTCGAATAATTCGCAAAGACTCGCAGCAAAGTATGAAAATGCAATTAATCCCATGATGTTGAGCCCAAGAAAAGAAGATTTGCGATTTCATTTTAAAAATGTAATATTTTTATTTATCAACACATTATTGTATCCATTATATCTCATATGCTCGTAACCAATTATCATATTAACATATAATAATTGCAATAATCATATCCATTGTTGTATGAATGTATATTGTGTTTTTTTTTGTGTTTGTTGCTTGTTTTCATTTGTATTTTGTAATTTGTGTTAAGTATACATGTATTTGTATAATATTTCATTATGTAGTCACATACAACACATACATATTAAATAGTACATAATAGTACATATATTATATTATTACAAATACCTCTTTTTTTGGTAGGTTTTTTTTTGTTAGTGTTTCATAAATATTTGCTAGAAGATCGACTGCTTGGGGAATATCGAAAGATTTGTTGTATGTAGTATGTTTGTGTGTAGTGTAAAAAGAGGGGATGAGTGATCGGCTCAAGCGGCGCGATACTTCAACAATTTGTCGATAACGCAGTTCTGTTATATGGACCTGTATATTTTTGTGTGGGTGTGAGCACGATTATGTATGGTTTTTATGATATACATACATATGTATGATGTATCGGTGTAATAGGATTCATGTGATATACGAACGTCTGCTTACATACATTTATGACTATACGTATGTATGTACTTATGTATAATGGGTAAATGCAGTTAATTTAAGAGTAGCTTTCTTGTTTGTTTTACATAATTTTTAATTTTCGTAAGATTTATTCTATGGTTTTTTATTGGGTGCATATTTATGTAAATTGTTGTATTTTGCGTTGATTTCTTAGTGCGTTTTTTGCCACATACATTTTGCCTATAAACATTTTACTGATTAACTAGATTACTTATGTATTTAATGCTATATGTATTTTATTTTGTAAATAAGTTTAATTGTGCTAATAACGTTGCTTGCATATTTTTAATAAATATTTTTTTTATAAGTGAGTATGTTTTTTGATGTGTGTTATGATAATGCGTTGTTTCTTAACAATCTGAGAGGGCATACATGAGTAATGTGAGTGAGTACCTACATTTGAACATATATATATATGTATATATTTTTTATAGGTATGCTGATGTCGCGTATGTATGTAAATATGCCACTATATTTGCAAAGAAGATGGATTTAAGGTTTTTCTTTAAATGTTTTTTTTTCTGGAATTTTTTAGCGACTGAATAGCGTGCAAACACATTTGAAAATTGCATTTTTTTAATTTGATTATATTATAATTGATTATTTAAATATTTTGGTAGTAAAATTTTCATAGACATTACCATTTAAAACATGACACATTTATGGTGAAAATAGTAGGTTCATTCGAAGAAGAAAACATTTAATTAAGTTAAGTTAAGTGATTTAGTAATTGTTTAATTTTTTTTTTAATTTACATGAAATTCTGCAAATTGCAATAACGTATTTTGTTTGCTTTTGGTTTTTCCTGATTTTGTATATTTACTTACGCATACATAAAATATTTATTCTAAATTTTATTTGGAATACTTAATAATAAATATTTATTTAGTAAAATTTCTGCTATTAGCGTTTAACACAACCTAAAATATGTATTTGTATTTGAGTACATACATGTGTATGTGTACAACAAAGAAGGTTTGCCATTTGCATAACATTAAACAAATTGTTTTTTTTTAATTGTTACTTGTTTTTACTGTTTAGTAATTTTATAATTTTTTGCATAAATATATGTATGTAATTATATAAAACTTTTTGCCTTTGAGCATACTCAAAAAAGATAAAGCAAATAAGTAAATCATTGGAGCTTTTAAAAGTATTAAAAAGAGGTAGTGTAGAATTTGTAAAATAAGGTTTTATATATGTATTCATGAAAAGGAATTTAATAAAAAGTTATGCCAG